CCCCCCCCCCCCCCCCCGTCAAACACCTGTTGCCTTTGTAACATCCCTATATGTGCAGTTCTAAATTTTTCTTAAAATAAACCCTGCAACTAGGCATATACCATTGCAACATTGTAAACATTAAGTTGCTTCGAGCGAGCGATTTAAAATTTGCACGTCGTTTTTAGACGGCGCGAGAGACACTGCGATATATAATTCTTTAAATTGACCAGCTAATTTTCGTATAACTTGAATATTTCGACGCATTATAAAACATTTTTAAAGTTTTTTACTTGCATGCTTCGCAACTCGCCCGAAGATTTCAAACTGAATATATAATTTTAGGGTCAAAAGCCTACTTGGGGGGTGGGGTAACGTAACACAAAAATACGGCTAAAATACTTCGACACGTTTATTCTGTTCCATTTATGGCAGCCTTTCTCCTAGAAATTTTTTTCTAAAACCCATAGAGAGGCCTGCGGAGGAGGCTACATACATCGCACACAACGTGTGAAAGTAGAGAGTTTAAGATCTACGGGCCGGTTCAATGAATTTCAGCTCAAGGATGAGCGCTAAGCAATTTGATTACTGTAATAAATGTTTGAAGCTTTTTCAAATAACCTCAAAAACGGCTAAGTTGGGCTAACGCGATGCAATGTTTGTTGTAATTTCCACTTTAAGTAACATCTCTTGGGTCGCAATAAGTTTCACGTTGCTTGACACACGTGGTAATGCTTAGTTTGACGTTGTGTTGAGAATGGCAAAGTCGTGGAGAATACCTCTGGGACCACAAATCTTGCTTATCTTTCAAGGTTAGCCTTTTACAAGTTTTTAAAAAAAATCGATACGGCGCTTCGTTTAATAAACAGTCTTTTGTCGTCGCCATTTGGCATTTGTATTATTTAAAATGCACGGACCGGAAGTGAGAACACCTTGAGCCGGATTTTGACCAATCAGTATTTTCCGTTCAGAATCTGAACGGGGAATATTTTTTTAGGGACGGTTGCAGACACTTTATTTTTCCTTCGCCCATTTTTTCTTGCCCTTTTTTTCTCTGCGCCCATGCATTTCTTCTAACCCGCCATTTATTCAAAAATCCTCAAAACCTTCAATAAAATAAAGCGACTGCTACGCAGGCTAGGAATTGCGTACACAAGCAGACTTTTGTTCCCCAGCAACTTCCTGTCAGACTGCAGTCCAGCAGGACTCAAATTACTTTAATTAAAGCATTTGTCAACAAGACTTTGCCGCTTGGATATGCAAAGGCAAACAATTGTTTTACTACCCAGACAATCCAAATACTAAATATCCTTGTGCATGTAAATTGAGCAGTGCCAATGGTAATATCTCGTCAAGAAAGTTGACATTCTCTTTGCAATTTTTTAATATAGCTATACAGGTAAGATCTGTGCCAGTTTAGATACAGACGATAATAAGAAAGCTGCTGATTAATAGGGATGCAACTATAAAGGCTGCTCTGCAGTTAAGCGTTTTTCATACGTGCGTGTAAGCACGTAAAAGTTTAAATCTTTTTAAATTTTACTTATGAAACAACTAATTGAATAAAAGGGTAGAATTTAGTGTTGTGTGTGATTTAATATGCATTTGTTGAGGTAATTAGTACTTCTATAAAGGCCTACTCTGGGGCGGTAAATCGCCTTAAATCGCCTAAAATCGCATTAAATCGCGGGTTAAAATGGTCAAATTTCTCTTAAATCGCCTAAAATCGCTTTAAATCGCCTAACATCGCTTAAAATCATGGGAGTACTGGGTGGGGGGGACGGGGCGACCCCCCCCAGTTTCTGGCTGGGCAGTCGCCCCCTGGCTTTGTTGGGCAAACAATGCCAGCCGGGCAATATTCGCTTCACTGTCTGGCAATATTGGTTTATTATAGAAATAAATGGGACAAAT